CTTTCAAATCATACTGTTAGCATAAACTTATCAAACAGGCTCAGCTTCCCTTAGGAGCTAGCCCTTTAACAGTTGTGCCTTTTACCTTTAGTCTTATTAACTCACTAAGTGGAAAAAGAAAGATAAATGCAGCATCAGACCATAGATTATGCCTGTAATGAAGGGTTAGGCATGTATGTTCCATGCAGCCTGCAGAGTCATCTGAGTCTCCAAGGACGTTTCATGTTGTCTTCATAATGGATTCTGCCTTTGTTCAGTTTTCTGATTGTCCTCAAATTTTTAGTTGGAGAAAGAGTTCACATTATACTATCCCTTAAGCAATGTTGTGAAGAATTCCTGCGCCATGGGATGCCTCAAGCTTCAACTTTTGCATCCTTTGGTGACAGAGGTTGCTGCCACAAAAGACTGTCTAGGAGACAGGGACCTCGAGAAAAAAAATCTAGCATCAGCAACTATGTTGTGACCTTTTCATCGTTGGAGTGCCTGGCTGTTGCTCTGCTTTATTAGTCTGAATGTTTTCGAAAGGGAGAATCTGAAAGGTGGGAGCAACAGCATGAGGATTATTCTTAGATGTTATAGCCTAGGTTGGGGGTGAAGAGGAACACGTGAGAGGCAATTGCTGAAAGTGTAAGAGACCTGTAAGTGAAATTTCAGGGGAATTTTGTGAAGTCTGGGGGGAAAAAAATTGATCTGAAAGGAAGAACGAAACCTCAAACAAGAAATAGCTAGCAACCTTAACTCCAAAAATAAATTACTTCAAATTGAACAAGTATTTTTGCCATAATCCATGGTTTTACATTATGCAATGTGTAATGTAATTTGCAACAAAAGTAATTTTGAAACACAAAATTAAAAGGCTCCAATTTTCAATTTTCTAGGTCTTTTTTTTTAGTAAAAAATACAGTTTCTACAGGGTACAGCTTAAGAAAGCTGACTTATGGCACCAGTACACAAGTGGCATATGTTTTTCAGGTGGTTATTCCCCAGTGTTGTCTTCCTATCCCTCCTCTTCATATCTGTAGAAGGCTCAGGGATTCCTTCCAGGCCTTTTTAAAATTAAACTGTTTTTCAGAATCATGGGCTAACAGATGGGGAAGAATTGTCATCAGCTAGCCAAAGTAAATATAGTTGCAAAGAGCTTTTAGCAATAACTATGCATAATTATGCAATTCAGTCATCTTTCAGTTGAACTTTGGGGGACTGCATAAATTTATGGATGTACCTGACCAGTCTTCCTGTGCTCCTGTTGGGTGCTGCCGTTCATCTTGGTAACTTTGTACAGAGCTTCACCTACACGAAAAATATGAGGCTTTGGAGCAAATAAGAGACCCTATTCACACCTGCGGACACCTGCAGAAGAGCCAGTCTGCCTCTGCTCTGCTGGCTCGCTGGTGGGAGCTGTGGGGTGTTGGTACCACTGGATGCCTGAAAACGCTCTTTGTGTGGAGGTGGGTGATGACCTATATATAGCACTGACAACAGGAGGCAGCAGGACAGGCTTTAGGTTTTCTTGTTCCCAGGATCAAGGAGCTTCAGAGCTGGCTTCCTAGGGTGTCATGGGCACAGAAAAAGGATTTCTCCTTCTACTGAACCAATTTTCATTGACCCAGCAATGCTGGGCATTTCCTCAGCATTCTGTGAAAGTCCTGCGTAAAAGGCTGTTGGTAAAACCTGACACATTGTCTCTAATTTTTCAAATTCTGAATTTCTGGAGCTGAATGGGGGAACAAATAGTGCATGGAGCTGAGAAAGGTGTGAAATAGAAATTCCCCCAAATTAGCTAGAAAATCCAGAGGCTTGCTCTGGGATATGCTTAAGCCTGCCAGTTAATACGCTCTTGCTGCCTGCTCAGTAATTTGTCGGGAACAGGGAAGAAGAATCCAGACTTGGCAAGCTGGTGTTGTAGACAGATTTTGTCAGATGAAATCCCAGTAGACGTTAGTCCAACATCAACAGCTCCTGAGCTATCACATGGGAATGTGCAAGGAGATAAAATGACCATCCTAAAGAGTGGATCCTCTATTTTAAGGGGCAGAGAAGGGAATCTGGCTAATGTAATTTTTTTCCTTTCTTTTCTTTGTGGAGTTGTTCAGAGAAATGATAGAAAATGTTGGTTTCAAACACAGATGCAATTCTGTCTTTTCTTGAATCCTTCACTTCATTTAAAGAAGTTGCTTAACTCCTCTCTCTTGCTTTTTCCTACATGTGAAGAGAGGTTAATCCTATCTGACTTTACCTCAGAGGATTGTGAGGGCAGAGTTTGGAAAAGAATTTGCTGTCTATGCAAAGAATCCACAAGTGACTGCAGGGGAAAAAAACCCCAGACCTACCGTTGGGAAACTCCAGCACCAGTTGACTACTTTCTGGAAGCGGACTGTCCTGTTACATAAACATCCTTGAAGCTTTGCAGAAGGGGTGACATTCACATCACATATGTGGGGCCTGACTAATTGGGCTTTGTGTGTGAAGAACAAGGATGGAGAGGATAAGGAAGTGAAATCCCCAAGGTGCAAGCTGGGCCTCCTTCTTCCCATGGCCTGTACTGTTGCATACGTGCTGAAAAGGGGTCTCAGAGCCTCCTGTACCACTGAGCTGATGACTGGGAACTCTGTGGGCCCCGCGACCCAGCCTGCATCCTAACTCTGCCCTCCCCAGTGGTCCGGGCAGCATCCTGCTCAGCCCAGCAGCCAGCTGCAACAACCTCCAACAGTGACTCAGAGAGCATCCCTCTGCCCAGAAGTTGTTAATATGCCTTCGTGCTAAAATCTGCATTAACTCAGTGGTCCTGGTCTATGCATAAACAGCATGCAGACCATGTAACTCTTGGCTGTTTCTACAAACTGGCAGAAGGGGGCTGCTAACTTCAGGAGCTCCAAGTTGCCCCCATAGGAGTCTGTACCTTTCCACTGATTATGTGCGGAACCAAAATCCCATAGTTGCTGATTTGATGGCTAAAGTTAGGTGGCACCAGCACCCCTCCACCCAAAACTCGCTTCAGACCCAGGGCCCAGTTCGCCACAGCCTCACACCTTGTGGCAAAGTGGAGCTGCAGCATGAGTTGAAAGTCACCACTTTGTTTTGCACACACTTTGTAAAGCTTTGTCACTAGTCCCAGGCAAAGAAAGTAACCTGTTTCCTCCCCCATCTCTTCAGGGAAAACTATGTATAGCAGGCATGTAAATAACTTGATAGCACCTACTATAAAATTCACATGTATAGTTTTCTATATTTTATGAGAGACACAGAATAATGGTTTGCAGGTTTTCCATTCTGCACAGCAGCTCTCAGGGTAACAGGTCAGGTTTCACAATTGGGATGGCAGTGAAAGGAACAGATTCACAAGCTGAAAGAGCCAGTGCTGAACTGGTTAGGAAAGAGTAAAATCTGAATTCCCAACTCTTTTTCTTTTCACAGCTGTTAAGAGTTCAGTGGGTTGAACTGCAATCCTTCAAGTTCATCTGTTGACTCCAACACAAAACTATTATAAACTGTGCCTCTAAAACACGTGATGAAACATTTCTTGAGAGCTATTTATTCCAACTGCAGCAGAGGAAAGTTTTCAGAACACCCGGCATTTGGTAGAGGAAAGGTCTCTTGAGCTTTGCAAAAGGAGGAATTATTTGCATACCAACGTAAGTTGCTTTTTGATTTTCTTTTCCCCGGCACCATTGAATAAAATAATACTTCTAACCTTTTTTCCCCCTATGGAAACATGGTCAAGTAGCACAAAACTATGTTTAAGTGCCTAGCAGAGTATTTCTATATACTTTTCTTTCTTTAATCATGAGGACTGGGGGGTTTATAATTCAGCATAGAACTCAACATGATTTAATATTATGTATGTTCTTTTCCCAAATGTTTTCTGTATCTGAATAACAGTTCATTCGGTTACAATATTAATGCAGAAGTATGATAGACTGCAAGCTTCAATCAAGTGTGTCCTGGAAGCTTACAAATTACAAGTAGCAAGGAATAGCTTGGGGGTGTCTTTTTTTCAGATGTTTCTTTTACATCTTTGGTCTGAAGTTTGATCTTACATATACATGCACATTCTCCTCCAGGCTTTAGTTGTGGTAAAACACTTTCCAGGCTGAAAATGGACCATGCAAACATGACCCAAGCCATGCTTGATGCTGAATCCCGCAACACGGAGAACAACAACAGCAACGAGTATTTTTACATTCTGATCGTCATGTCTTTCTACGGGATCTTTCTGATAGGGATAATGCTGGGCTACATGAAATCCAAAAGAAAAGAGAAGAAGTCCAATTTACTTCTGCTCTACAAAGATGAGGAGAGAGAATGGGGGGAAGCTGTGAAGCCTCTACCAACCATCTCAGGGCTGAAATCTGTCCAGATCCCCATGATGCTGAACATGCTACAGGAGAGCATGGTGCCGTCCCTGTCCTGCGCCATCTGCTCGATGGAAGGCAGCAGCGTGAGCTCCGAATCCTCCTCCCCAGATGTGCACTTCACCATCCAGGAGGAAGTGCTGGATGCTGAACTGGGGGAAGTGTCAGAAACGCTTCTCAACGAAAGCAGTGAGGGATCTGCAGAAAACATCCACAAGAACTCCTAGCACTTGCAGGGCTCCCTTGATCAGCCGCCAAAGCGTGAGTGGAGCTCCCACTAAGAACTTGTGGTTCTACTTCCCTGCTCGCCAATGAACTCTCAACAGGTATCTGTGCCCCTGGGCCCGAGGCGTTCCTGAGAGCTGGTAGGACAAGGAAGCAGTGGTACCCAACACCAAAGTGTAACTTGCACATAATTGGGATGCTTAATTTTAATTTTTCCATTATTATTTCTTACCATAAGAGCTAAGAACAAGGAGAATATATATATTTTATCTAACGAGGTAACTATTACTGACATGTCTCTGCATATTTCAGAATTCTGCAAGTATCTGGGAAATGTTTAGGGAAGTTACCCTAATGCAAGTGCCTGGTTGTTAAAGATGATGGGTAATGCTCATTCACACAAAACTGTGATAGACTAGAAGTACTTTTACTGTGTTTTTCTTGTAACAAACCACAGCCAACAGCAGATTTGCTCAATGAGGCCTCAAAAGCTGAAAATTTGTTGATGCTGTAGTTGAAGGGAGATTGCAGCATGGCTGGAGACTGACTAGGCACAGAAATAATGAAAGAAAAAGGAAAAAAAAAAAAAGAGGCACTGAATTTCTAGGAGGTTTGTAAAGTCCAGTTTCAGATCCATGCCACTATATCTATCTTTGCTTAAGTTGTACCTGCACTGGTACAGGTAACTTCTGCTGCAATCCAGCCTTTAATTGAGTTGCTAGTAGGAAAAGTGGTTTTGTTTTTTGCTTTTGTATTTTTTAAAGACATGTGCATTTGATCACTAAAGGCAAAGATCTGTAAGTTAAAAAAAAGACATTAAAAGATCTTTGTCACAAAGTGTAAGATGTAGAAAGGCTTGAACAAATGCTGCTCTGTTATACCCCCTTGAAAAATAGATCGAATTCAGAATAGAATTTAACCTAGCAAGGGTGAAATCCTGGCCCCACCGAAGTGATCAGCTGAGTCCTCCTGACTTCAGGGGACATGCACAAGATTTTGTGCTTCTCTGTTGGAGTTGAATTCTCCATTTGAGGTCAGTAAAACTGTACCCATTTACATCATTAAAGAATCTAGCCTTTCTGCTCTGTTTAAGCCAGTATAGATAAATATTGCATTACAACCTTTTTTTTTTAATTCAGCTCGCATGTGACACATGCATTTCTATAAAGTCATTAGTAACTAGTTTTTAAAACAACCATAAACTTCCCCCACTAATTTAATGGTACTGTGATTTTTTCAAATGCTCGTGAAATTAGTTACTAAATTATTGCACTGTTAAAAGAAGTAATGTTAATATCGTAGCAATGTATGATTATTTCAATCATACCTTATATTTTATAATAACTTATTACAATGTTTGGATTAGTTCTGAACCATGAGGGCTAAAGAGCCTGAATCTAAAGCATTGCGCAGCAAAATGTTTGCAAAATGTCTCCACATATTTCCTGCGCTAAAATAGCTCTGTGATTTATCCACTGGCATTAGAGCTTGGGAGGCAGCTTGAAAAATATGAACGCTGAACAGCAGAAATGAACTGAGGCAAGAGTCTGTTGTACTTCTGCCATTTAGAAGGGAGAACTCTGGTTTTGGCTTGTAGGGTTAATATGATGTGATGTAGCCTGCAGAGGTATCACTGTCTCTCTCTAAACACGGCAGAACAAAGGCTCCATTGTGCTCAGAAAGGGCCTGATTCAGTTCAGACTGAAGGCAGTGGGAATTTTTCCATCGACTTCAGTGAACTTTGGATCAGACCATATAAAGCTTTTTGGTAGATTTACTCCAAAAGGGGCTGTTTTAAGTTTGAAAGAAGCCAAATTAAGTTTGGCACTTTGCCTGGAATCACTTGAATCCTGAAACTTTCCAAATGAGACTGACATGCGCGAGTTGTCACATTTTCCATTGCTTCCTCCTTTGTCCTTTTACTTTTGGTATAAATGTATTTGTATCTGTAAAAAAACCTGATGTATATAATTCCTAACATTGAGTTGTATATAATTGTCTCATGTATTTAAAGTTTATTGTTTCTACTGGCACTAATTTTTATTTAAATAAAGAAACACATTTCCTGGAAAAGTCTCCATGTCTGTTCACTACGTCAAATAGGTTTCCAGTAATGGGACTGCGCAAAATTTCTACAGAATCCTTGCTTAGCCTCTTTTTGAAATGATTCCTTGTGTTTGACAGTACTGCAGCATTGTGGGCTGACTGCAGATCTGCCTTGGGTCCGTACTGACTCTTCAGGGCACTGGGCAACCTCCTCGCGTTCAGCTCCTGCCCATGTGCCGGCAGGGCTGCATGGATACCCGGAGTCCTCCTGTAAAGAGCTGGGGCTGCTGACGAGCCACTGAGGAGGCTGGAAAAACTGACAAGCTGCTATGAAAACTTCTTTTTCACTTATTCAGCCTCTCAAAAAGTCCGCATTTTGAATTTTGATTTTAAATTTGCATTCTAGCAAATTGGGTGGGCTAGTGTTGAGGTTAGGGGCAAGTATTTGACACAGGTCTCTGTTTCCCCTGGATTTCCAGTACTTGGCCATGGTACGTAGCTGGCTTTGTCACAAGCTTTGATCCTGGGTCTCATTGCTGCTCTGCCATTTCCAGCATTAGGGATAGGGGACGTTTTGGGATTCTGGCTCCCAATGCAGGACGGAAGTGTTTAGAGGCAACTTTGCACTTTCATATCTCCTTGAAGCTGTGAAGGGTCACAGGCATTGGCTGAGACCTACTTGCATGGGGTAATTTGAGGTTGTTTTAAAAATCAGGTTGCTATAAAGTTATAGCTGCTCGCTTTCCCACAAAACCTGTTCCCCTGTGCTCTGCTCTCCTCACTCACCCCGTATTAAATAGTTCTGGGGCCTGTTCACAAGCTTCTGTGGACCTAAAGCTACCCATCAGCAAGCCTGCATTCCGCTCTGGCAATGTAATCTCCCGGGAAACCCACAGTGTCCTGGAATACTGGGTCAGTAATGTTGCATCTTCCACATTTACCCATGCTGCTGTTTCAGTGTTTCCATTGCCACAATAATGAATCAAGAGATTTCTGACAGCACTGGTGATAAGAAGGAAAAACAGAACAAAATGTAAATTACAGCTCTGCTTTATGGATCAAAAATCTAGCTTATTCCAGTGGTTACTTGAGTTAAACTGAGCTGCTATAAAGGGAAACTCTGTGTGCTTTGGGGTCTGTTTACACTGAAGTGAGCTACTAAGCACGAAAATGTGGCCACCTTCTTGCAGACTGTGATGGAGCTATCTTTGGCCCATGGGGTTCAAGAAAGCATGCGTGATAGTTTGGTGTGTCTTTGTCCAAGGGCATTTTTCTTTGTCCAAATGAGTATTACCAGGGAAAAAAAAAAAAAGAAGCAAAAATATATTTTAGCTATAAAAGTTAGTTGGATGTGCAACTGAATGCAATGATGCCTTGAAGACAGCCCAGTGACCCAAGACTACCAGGTAGCTATTATTCCAATATAAAAGAAGTGTTGTTAATCTTGAAAAGCTACAGATGGAAGGAAGATGCTTGCCCTCATTAAGCTTGTTTCAAAATCCTTTTGACTACTAAGGAGTAAAAGGTAATAATAATTTTTTTTTTTTTTCCAAAAAATGACAGACATTTCCAGTGTGCTTCAGTACGTGAGTTGAATCAGATTCAGAGCTAATAGATCTAGGCTTGAGAGCAATGATAATTGACTGTAATTTGACTGAATGGAGGTGATTTTAGTTTTACAGATGCATTCTTTCTTGAAAGAAGACAGCAATGAGGCTCCCATTTCTTTGGCAGTGCTATACCTCATACATTTGCTGGAATAGTTAATGCATATCACCTTTGATAGAAGAGGAAAAGATGGCCACATGTGACGTGTACATGGTCTGGCTCCAAGACCTACTGTAAATATAAGTGCCAGTTCTCAAGATTACCACATTGGGATCTGTGACAGTAGCTGGGTGATTTACAATCCTAAATCCTACCAGTGGATCACATACAGATGCACCTGTGAGGTTACTCATTCAACAGACTGAACCTGCTGAATAATTGAAGTGGAAATGCAGAACCTGTCTCTTCCCCAGGCACAGGATCTCCCAGGCTCTCCGAGG